ACCATAATAATTAGCTTGAAAAGTCTCAAGCGAATATTTGTGTTGAATTTGGCTTCAGAAGGAGCAAGTCTTATAGCTCACAATGAGCATAGCTAACAAATCTGCATGTAGCCATAATACACTGCATTATTTGCAAGACTACAGTAGCTATCTCCTACAAATCTATTGAAAGTACCAAAGAAAGAACAGAGCCTAACATCTGATCTTGGACACTATACTAATTGATGACTTGTTTTACATAAACTATGGGAAAGTTCAATCCTATATGCCATTAGTAGCCCTTTCATGTTAGGTATACACGTTTGGTAATCCTATCTTGGACAAATTATTATCTAAAAATTTGTCAATCGGAAACCTGTGGCCACCTATTTCAGTAAATGTCTCATAGAGCAGCGTTACTGTTTACTAGCCATTTTCTTTCCTTTCTGCAAATATTCATTATGCAGCACATGGGAATCAAAAGCAGGCCTCTGAGTATTATCGAGGGCCTGGCTTTTTTAAAAACTTATGGTACGTTTTCTCATGCTAGGCTATTACAAGTTGCAGATCATCGTCTAGTTTGCTGTTGTGCTTTCTGTAGACAGTGAACATCTTGGCACCGGGTCACGTTCTTCGCACCTTTACCAGAATTACACCATAAGACACCTTAGTGGTTTTTGTTGGCAACTGACTCTGTGAGCAGACAGGATTTCGGACCTGATAGACTTGCTAAGGAAGTACACAATTGGTTGGTATTTCCTAGCCACTGACATTTAGGCAACTTTGTCTGCTTTCCTTAATTCAAACTCAAATGTCCCATGCATAGTGTCAGACTAGGGTTCTGAAGAATACAGAGGTGGTATCAGTTCACGTCAAGAGTTGGGTGTAACGCGTTACAAAGTACTGTAATAATATTACTTTTGTCGGTAACGGAGTAGTGTAACACGTTACTTACTTGTTACTTTTATAAAATCAGTCATAATCACACTGACAGACAAGAGGGGTTTCCGCCGCAGGTTTATATCTGCGCAATTTACGCGTCCACATCTCCACGTGCAGTGCTGCATAAATATGGCTGAGTCAGCGATAACTTTCGAGGGGTGGAGGTATGCCCATTATTTTGAGTTCGTCCGAAGAATAGACAGGAATGTGACGGTGATGTGCAAACTGTGTCCAGGCCAGAAGCTGTTATCCACTGCTGCAGGGACGTGCACAGGTATGGGCTAATGTTGCCCAGGCAACGGCCCGTTTGGCATTTTTGGCTGACCTGCCCCTCTGGAGAGAGCAAGAGTTTGTTTTAATTTTTTCTGTTGTGGCCAAATCAACATGATAAGCCCACAATTAGTATTGTAGCGTCTCGCTGCGGGAAACACACCATTACCTCATTCACACCAACGGTGTTTCAGGGCCGGTTCGGAGCTGGAGCTTGAAAAGCACCGGGTTTTCCTCTTCACACCGCTGCGGAGCAGCCTCTTAGCTCCGGAATCCGATTCGTTTCAAGCACCAAAAAATTGTCCGGCCAGAGCAAAAGCACCACATACGTCACGCTTACGTCGAGGCAGGGGCAGAGACAGATCAACTCCTGACAACAACAAAAAGCCGGCGTTTTATCCAGTTTGTACACAACGATGGAGAAACTTAACAAGAGTTTCAGAGTTTCAGTTTTTCTGCCATAGACTGTATATGTAAAGGTTTCTGCTCATGGTGAAGCAATGTGTCTGCGTGTTAAGGGGAACCTGAGGCATCTCACGGTTGATT